AGGTGCTTTCCTTATCAGCTCATTTTTGGGTGGCTTTTGGGCATAGTTCCTGGGAGCCTGGACTTAAGCCAGAGCCAGATATTGCAGCCATCCCAACAATTATGTAAGCTACCCAGTACTGTTCAATAGACTTCTTTTCTCCTAACTCAGCCAGGATCTATTTCTTTCTTTCTTTTCCCTGTAAGCAACTAGCAATCTCAGTAATCCAAAGGGCAATAGGATAATCTCAGTGCTCCTGATCTTGTGGCTAAAGATGCTACTAATAATGCAGTCACCAAAGAAGATGTCACTGTGCTACCTGAAAAAGTCATGAAACATCCCAGGAGCCACAGTGGAGCAAACCCCTGTGTCATTGCAAGAGAAGTTAATTGGTAGGAAAAAAAATAGGGAAGTATAAGTATGAATCAGAAGTCATACTTATAATACAGAAGATTTCCATCACGCTTATCACATAGAACATAGAGGAAAATAAGAATAGGAGAAATTAAATCTCTCACTAACTCAAGAATCCCAGAAATATAAATTTAGATACAGTTAAAACTGTGAGAGGTAGAAATTGATGGGACACCTTGTTTTCTGCCTTTGACAGGGTACAGTCACCACTGCTCTATCACTCTCAAGTTAATGGAAAATACTTGAGTTTTCCTTCTCTGACAGGTTTCCACCTTACACAATTTTTGGCTTTTGCAGATTTTACTGTACAATGGAGTTACTCAAATCTTTCACTGACAGAAGAATATCAGCTCGCTGTGTAGGTAATTGAAGAAAAGAATGAAGATGCAAAAATATTTATAATTAAAATATTCTCATATATTTAAAAATAAAGTAATTACATTACCATTTTGAACAATTTTAATCAGCATCCATCTCTTCACACAAAGTACCAATAACTCCTGTCAGAGAGCATTGTTCCTCCCTAATACCACTGCCCTCCAAAGATTCTCTGAAGCCTTAGTTTGCTTGTGCACTGTTATAATTTTCTTCATAGATTTCCCCAATGGGGCACACAGGTAAGTGAACACTGCAAGTTTTATTATGCAATAGTATACTATCACCTAGTACGTGTATGCTCTATTACATATTTCCAATTTTAATAGACTTGGCCTATTCTTATTCATTCAGACTCGCTCTCTTGAGTCCAAACACACACAAATGTACTTGTATAATGACTGGTCTAATTGGTTATAGTCTTGTAGACATGGAGTAGACTTTAAATAGTCATTCATTCAAAAAATAATGAACACCTTCTATGTGCCTTCTATGTGGCAGGCAGTGAGGATATATTACTGAATAAAACACAAAAATCTCAGCCCTCAAGCAGCTTCACTTTAGTGAAAGAAGATAGACAACAACAAATTAGTTAATTTATAAGTGAATATACCAACTCCACACTTACTGACATGGTTAGGTTCCAAAAAGCAGATTGTTAAACAAAAATTGGCATTATGCAAAAATGGAGGATGTCCACATCAGATCACAAAATGGGGGATAATTACATCGTTACATAACTGCCAAATTACATCATTACATAACTGCCAAACCACTGAGAATCATGGCCCACCCAAGCTGACACATAACAGCCAGTATTATCTCACTTCACACCTCAGTGTTTGTTACTGCCAGACATGCATCGTTAATGCACAAAATAGGTGGATGGTGGATTTTTTACTATAATAAATGTGAAATGTCAGATAATGAGATAGTTGACAAGTGAGGAGTAGGAATAACTAAATTAGTATACTAGGAGGTGACTCGTGTGTTATGGATTGAATTGTGTCCCCCAAAATTATGCGTTATGAATCCTAATCTCTATGCCTGTGGTTATAATCCCACTTGGGAATGGGTTGTCTTTGTTATGTTAATGAGGCAGGATTAGTCATACACCTTACTAGAGGATGTGACTCAAGTCACCACCCATACCCCAGCCACCAACCTTACCGCCCTTACTTAAGTCTCACCTTTTATCTTACAAGAGATAAAAGGAAAGAGAAGTGAGGAGACACAGGGGGACCTGACTACCACCAAGAAAGTAAAACCAGGAGCACAGCGTGTCCTTTGGACCCAGGTCCCTGTGCTGAGAACCTAGTAGACCCAGGGGAAGATTGAGGCCAAGACACATATAGATTTCCAAGGCTTTCCCCTAGAGCTAGTGCCCTGAATTTGGATTTATAGCCTCCTAAACAGAGAATAAATTTGTTTGTTAAACCCATCCACTTGTATTTCTGTTATAGGAGCACTAGATAACTAAGACAGCACTCGTGTCAGAAGTCTTAAAGACAGTGGTGTTTATTTCTATGGCTTTCTCCTAAAGTGAAATACAATTTATTTCTGAAATAAACTTTTAAAAGTGGAAATCGTGTCATGATAGATAATAAAACAAAGCTATCGGGGGCAGAGCAAGCTCTAACATACAGGGTACTTTTTAACTCCTTTGAGTTGCAAGCTATCATCTGACTTAAAAGTGTGTGGTATTTTCCCATTGATTTAACATAGTATATATGCTTAACATATATACATTTTTTTCCCTTAAATCAGCACAGAGTATATCTACAAGATAGTTAGACCTAAATTTAAATTTTTCTGTCCACTGAGGCCACAGTTAGTTGTTTATGAACCCAAAAAATATAATGCTAATGAGAGAGAGGGACCCAATACCAACAAGAAGGAGAGACAGGAACAAAGCACATCCTTTGGACCCAGCTCCCTATGCTGAGAACATCTTAGACCCAGGTGAAGATTGATGCCAAGATACATGGAGATTTCCAAGGAGCACAGGTCCCACAGATGTTGAAAGGGATAAGGACCTTCCCTCAGAGCCGACAGAGAGAGAAAGCCTTCCCTTACAGCTAGCACACTGATTTTGACTTCTAGTCTCCCAAACTGTAAGAGAATAAATTTCTGTTTGCTAAAACCATCCACTTGTGGTATTTCTGATATAGCAGCACTAGATAGCTACAACAACGTTCAATAAAGAAAAATAAGGCAGTGAAGAAAACAAGAAGCTGATATGGAGAGAGGCTATTGAAATTTTAAATAGTTGGCTAAGAAAGGACTCAGAGAATATGAAATTAAAGCAAATGCTTAAAGGAGATAAAGGAATGGGCCTTGTAGATATAAACAAGAGTGTTCCAGGCAACAGGAAAAGTGAGTGCAAAATCCCTGCGATGGGGGATGCCTGGAGTACTTGAAGAATGGCAAGGAGTTTACTATAGCTGCAGTGGAGAAAGATGAGGAATGAATGAATTTGAGAGGCCATTGTATAAACTTTTAAGACCTCTAACAGGTTTAAACTTGTAACATTTCTAACTTCATCCTCTAATCTGCTGGTCTACAGGAAAAGTGGTGTGTGTACAGAGAAGAGTACCGTGTGAGACAGTACAATATTGAGAGAAAAATAGCATATTATACTGTGGTAAATTAAAGATAACCACACATTATTTTGGCAAAGAATATTGAATACACTGTGGACTGCCACAAGAATGAACAAATCACTTTTGGAGGAAGTATGGCCAGAATGTTCTTTAGAAGCAAGGGTGGCAAGACTTCATCTTGCTTACTTTATACACATCATCAGGAAAGATGAATCGCTAGAAAAGGACATCCTCTTTGGTAAAGTAGAGAGTGAAGACAAGGGAAACCCTCCATGAGATGGATTGACACAATAGGTGCAATAACAGGCTTAAAAATATCAACAGTTATGAGGATGATATAGGACCAGGCAACATTTCGCTGTTACACATAAGGTTGCCATGAGTCTAAACCAACTCAACCACAACTAACAACAACAACACATTACTTGCTGCTGTTGTCACTGCGAGGTCAAGTCTAATTCCACTTCCTTGGAATCTGGGCTTCCTTTAATGACTTGTTTGGCCAATGAAATGTGGCAGAAGTAATGCTATGCCAGTTTCCAAATATGCAGAATGACAGCGAGGAAAATACTGCAGATCTTACAGATATTATAAAAGATAGTGATAGAATATTATGGACAACTTATTACAATAATTTGACAACATAAATAAATGTACACATTTCTTGAGAGACACTAATTACCAAATAGAAACACAAAGGTTTCTAATAAATAAATTTATAAGTGAAAACCTTCTCACAGAGAAAACTTCAGGCCCAGATGGCTTCATTGGTAAATACCACCAAACATTTAAGGAAGAAATCATATCAATTCTACACAAATTCCTGCAGAAAATTTAAGGAAATGGAAGACTTCCCAACTCATTCTAAAGGGACAGCATTAGCCTGATACTAAAACAAACAAAAAGCATTTTACAAAATCCAATATCCATTCTTGATATTAAAAAAAAAAAATCAGCAAACTGTGAATGGAAAGGAACCTCTTCTACCTGATAAAGCCATCTATAAAAAAAAACTTATATCTAGCATTACTCTTAATGACAAAAGACTGAATAGTTTTCCCATAATATCAGGAACAAGTCAAGGATGTCCACTCTAACCACTTCTATTTAACACTTTGCTGGAGGATCTAACAAGTGCAGTATGACAATAAAAATGAATAAAATGAATCCATGCTGGAAGTTAAAAAGTAAAAATGTCTTTATTTGTATGCAACATGATCATCTATGAAGAAAATCCTATATAACTTATAAAATCCTATATAACCTATTTGTTAGTAAAACTAACAAATGAGTTTTGCAAGTTTGCAGGATACAATGCCAATTAAAAAAATTATATTCCTATATAATACCAGTGAGCAAATATAAGTTAAACAATAATTACATTTAAAATAACATCTAAAATATGAAATACATAGGGATAAATCTCAAAAAAGATATACAATACCTGTTCACCAAAAACTACAAAACATTGATGAAAGAAATTAAAAGGGATTTGCATAAATATAGAGTTACATGGTTTTGATGACTTGATCTTTACAATTACATTACAGATCTGGTAACGCTCAAATCAATATTGCCTCAAACCTCCTGAATGAAGAATATCAAATATGGAAACATAAGGCTATACCATAGTCAGTGAGAAGATCTCATCACATAATTTATGAGATCTTCCTATAAATCACTAGCTGTTTGCATACTCTCTTCATTGTTGCCTTCATCTCTTTATTTCTGAATGTATAGATGACTGGATTCTGAAAAGGAGTGAGAACTGCATCAAAAATAGCAAGAAACTTCTCCATCTGTGAACTGGGGTGTGGCCATGTATAGACAAACATGGTTGGACCAAAGAACAAAAGGACAACAGTGATGTGAGCTGATAGAGTTGTGAGGGCCTTGGACGAACCAGCTGAGGAATGTTTCCAAACAGTAAAAAGGATGAAGATGTAGGAGATGACAAGTATGAAGAAAGAACCAACACAGATAAACCCACTGTTGACAGTGACCATGAACTGCAGGCTATAGTTATCTCTGCAGGCTGGTCGGAGGAGCCTGGGTAGGTCACAGTAAAAGCTGTCCAATACATTAGGTCCACAGAAGGGTAAATTAACTATAAACACCAGTTGGAACAGTGAGTGACTGACACCAAGGGCCCAAGCGGCAGCAAGAAACACAGTGCACATTCTTGGGCTCATAATGGTCTGGCAGTGGAGAGGCTTGCATATGGCCACATATCTGTCATAAGCCATGGCTCTGAGCAGCACCATGTCCACACCACCAATGACATGGATGAAGAAGACCTGAGTAATGCAGCCTCCAAAGGAGATGACTTTGTGCTTTCTGAAAAGGTCATATATCATCTTTGGTGAAGTGACAGAGCAGGCTCCCAAGTCAATGAAGGAGAGACTGGCCAGTAGGAAGTACATGGGGGAATGTAAGTGAGGATCAGTGGTAACAGAAAACACAATGAGGATGCTTTCAGTCATGCTTGCCATATAGAGCACGGATGAGAACACCAGGAGGAGAAGCTGGATCTCCCATGAATTGGTGAGTCCCAGAAACACAAACTCAGATACCACAGAGTGATTCACTCCAGCCATTGATCCAGCCAATGGGGCTGCCACTGAAATTATGAGAATTAAGAAAATGAGAAGGAAATTGTGATTATGGTGATAATACTATGTCTTAGATGTGGTGCAGCGACCTCATTAAGAATCAAAAGTATATAGTTGTTTTGTGCTCAAATTACAAAAACAACACAAATCAATATAATATAATCACAGTTTTGGAGCACAACATGATTTAAGCCTGTCACCAATACTCTTCCCACAATATTTTGGCTGCAAATTAACAGAAGATTACAAAGCAAAAAAACAAACCCGTTGATTCTGACTTATGGCGACCCCATGTGTTACAGAGTAGAACTGCTCCATAGGGTTTTCTTGGCTGTAATCATTAAGGAAGATTTCCAGGCTTTTCTCCACAACTTCACTGGATGGGTTCAGACAACCAACTTTTAGGCTAGTAGTCAAGAGCAAACCACCCAGGAAGCGATTAGAGAAGATTCCCATTGCCGTCAAGATAATTCTGACCCATATTAACCCCATAGGACAGAGTAGAACTGCCCCACAGGGTTTCCAAGGCTGTAAATCTTTACAGAAACAGACTGCCATGTCTTTTCTCCCATGGAGCAGCCGGTGCGTTCAAACCACCAACCTCCATTAGCTGCCAAGTGCTTAACCACTGTGCCACCAGGGCTCCAACAGAAGATTAGGCAAGAACTAAAGATTCATGGGTATTCATGTCATGCAACAGCTATTTAAATCACCGTTGATGTTGACTAGTCTTCATTTCCAGCCTATTCCAATTTGCTTTTATGCATACTGTCATAATTCTCTCCTCACTTTGCACTTGCGTTTTTTTGACAAAAAGTAGGGATGAGGGGAAAACATGATTAACAGATGAATTGCCACTTGGAGTGAGAGTTGCCTGAGACATGAATTAAGATTGAATTACGTAGACTATAAATTTAGACTGACATAAAGACATTAGGGTATGTGAAATTAGAGAGCGCCCAAGGATAATGGAACAGGCGAAGTATGTGGACTTTAATTAAAAAAAGAAAAGTAGGGGAAAAGAAAAACTTTGAAGTACTCAGTACCTTCCTGGATTATAAACTCTTCTGATGTATGATATTACCCTACTTATTTTGACTGAAATCTATCCAAATATTTACTCTTCCAGAAAATTTGTAATGTCATGCTTTTAATTCATAATTATACAATGAGAGGAATATGAAGCATTAAGAAGGAATAAGTCCAATTTTATTAGGGCAGGTGAGCTTTCTTCTTAATCTTTAAGCCATAAAATACAAAAGGTGACACTGGAGATTTAGTCCTTTAATAAGTATTGTGTTTATATGTGAAGTGGGGCGTGAGCAGGGAACAGGGTTATGTTTCTCTTGTCCAGATACCCACCTCAGTCTTTCCCCATGGCAGAGATTAGTCCCTGAAAACATTAATAAAATTTTGTGATTTTAGGAGTTGCGGAGGTACAGTAGAACAGTATACCAACATCCTTCATTTTTGCAGCCACAGCTCCAGCCCTTCTCCCACAAAATGTATATGATTGATGTCCCATTTATCATAGGCCACAAAACTCACAGAGGCTCTCCCTGTGTCCTTATCCCAGTTCCGAGTCACCACCACTGGTAGGAGTCTCTATTCTCCTGTACCCTTCATGATTATACCGTCACCTCCTGAGTCAATAGTCCATGGTCTCAAGGTGCACACTTTCTGTAACCACAAGCTTTGGGACCCAGAGCAGAGAACTTAGAACAGCCACATATGTTGCTCATTGGGAAAAGAAGGTCAGCATGGAAGAGGACTAATGGGATGAGCATACATGAGTAGAGGATGGAGGCACTGGAGAGGGGGCCAGAGAAACTCAATAATTGTTTCAAAGGATCCAAGGTGTAGGTGAGGGAAAGCACATGTCTCCAGTGTGATAAGATGAAAATTCTCACAGAATCATATGAAAACCATTTTGTCTAGGTTGGTCATTATTCAGATAAAAAACATGAGACCCAGCCAAGTAAACTGAGTTTTCCAGATTGACACAATTGGTAGAATTGGGGACCAGAATTTAGGTCTCTTAATTCCTATTCCAGAATGACAGATCCTGAAGAAAACAATTGGATAAAAAAAGCAAAACCCAAAATGGTGATTTTTCCTGGTTAAAGTCAAAACTAACCACAGACATTCATACCGTGTCCATTATTAATACTAAATTAGATATCAGCATAACAATAATTAAACATTACATAAAATGTGTCTGATTAAAAATTGTTTTACTAGTACAACAGTAAATTATATTTGGAAAAGCGATTATTCATTGCTAACACAATTTATGTACTCATTCTTCCTGTTTTTCTGTTAATGCAACTAGTCACTACAACTGTAAAAAACCAAAGATGATGTTTCTAATAAGCCTATCCTTTGGTATTTCTAAATTTTATTTTCTTAAAGGCCAGCTAAAATCCAAATTACTTCTTGTAACCTTTTCGGACAATTCTTCTTCATACTGATTTGTTCTTTCTCAAACTCCATTAAGTCAAAAAAACAACAAGAAAACAGTTGCAAAAACATGAATTGTGAGGACTCCGGCAAGATGGCGGTCTAGGCAGAAGCACCACGCCATCCCTCCACAACAAAGATCCAAAAAACTAAGCCAAACAGAGAATCAACAATCCTGAAACCCTAGAACATCAAATGAAGAGATAAAGAACTCAGCCGAACACCAAACGGAGTAAGAATACTG